CCTGCCTGCCTGCCTGCCTGCCTGCCTGCCTGCCTGCCTGCCTGCCTGCCTGCCTGCCTGCCTGCCTGCCTGCCTGCCTGCCTGCCTGCCTGCCTGCCTGCCTGCCTGCCTGCCTGCCTGCCTGCCTGCCTGCCTGCCTGCCTGCCTGCCTGCCTGCCTGCCTGCCTGCCTGCCTGCCTGCCTGCCTGCCTGCCTGCCTGCCTGCCTGCCTGCCTGCCTGCCTGCCTGCCTGCCTGCCTGCCTGCCTGCCTGCCTGCCTGCCTGCCTGCCTGCCTGCCTGCCTGCCTGCCTGCCTGCCTGCCTGCCTGCCTGCCTGCCTGCCTGCCTGCCTGCCTGCCTGCCTGCCTGCCTGCCTGCCTGCCTGCCTGCCTGCCTGCCTGCCTGCCTGCCTGCCTGCCTGCCTGCCTGCCTGCCTGCCTGCCTGCCTGCCTGCCTGCCTGCCTGCCTGCCTGCCTGCCTGCCTGCCTGCCTGCCTGCCTGCCTGCCTGCCTGCCTGCCTGCCTGCCTGCCTGCCTGCCTGCCTGCCTGCCTGCCTGCCTGCCTGCCTGCCTGCCTGCCTGCCTGCTGATTGTAGAAATTATTGTAGAATGAGCATCCACACGACTTAACGTGAAAACATCTTCATTTTGTTCAGTCATTCGGTAAAAGAATCTAACAAATCTTAACTCGCAACCAAGCAAGAGTATGATGAACATTTTCACACGTTCACGCTCACGATGCCAGAGTAAAGTGAACAGGGAAATCGCATTTAGAACCCAAAAACAAAACGTTAGATGGCTGAAAAGAGGATCGGGTGGTTCTGGTTTGTTAATCAACTTATGACCGAAGAAACTGATGGAAGATCTTGAGCTACCCACCACTGTTTTAGCCCTTTCGAGACTCATCAAGCTCCGAGTTCCTGTCAACCGAACCTTTTACCTGAACATCAAAAAACACTCATCTAAAGGTCACACTGATGTTCGCAACAGACTCAAATAATCTCTCATTTATGATGTTCTAACAGAACAAAAGGAACTCAAGTCCATCTGATCAACCCCAAGAAGGACGAACCCGAGCGCGCGCCGTCGGGTGATTTTCAGTAATCTTATGAATAGTGTGTTCCGTGCGGAAAACATACAGCCAGATCTCAAATGTCGTACCAACTGACACAAGTCACAGTCTTTGTGTCGTACATTCAGGTGACGAATAGCTCAAACGAGGGATTCAGTTGAGTCTCTCGTTAACACTCATCAAGTTCCTCAGATTTCTTTTGGCGTTCCTCAGAGCTAGAATTTAGCAGAGAGGAATATCAACGACCGGACTAAACAAACGTCCTAGGTGCCTGCACCTTCAGCACTCAGTCAGTCAACCTTAGTTGAAACTGACAGCATGAATGCCACTCACATCGATTAGCCGTCATATTTTTGAGTATCTGAAGACAAGCATAAGGACGGCCTAGTGAACCCCATCGAGGAAAAAGAACAGAAACAATCGCGCCCACTTTTTTCCTAACTTCCCTCAATTTCTTCTGCCATACCCAGTTCCGCCCTCAAATTAGGCATGGAAAACGGCACTCGTTTCGTTTCTTTGTGCCCATAATACTTGACTCAGCCATGCAAACTTGCAACGTTGCATACATTCTTTGAGCCTCGACTGAAAAACCCGTCTCCTGGTCACCTCTTTTATAAATTCGTTAGTCCTAGCCGACTCAAGTTATTGTGCTCAGGCCTCGATTTTCAAAGACTCAAACACGTCCCTTCAGGAGTCTCTGGGTTACTCACTTTGTGTGTAAAATGCGGTAGGCCGAATGGCCGATTCGGAGAAGCTGGAAAGATTTGGTGTTTAACTGTAGGACATGGTGCAGTCAAGCACATCGGTTGCCAATAACACCTCACCAAGGTGGGTTAAAAACCAAACAATGCACAGAAACTAGGTGTTATACAACAACTTGGTTCAGAACCGCATAAGTCTACACCAGATTGCACTTGAACACGGCGCGAATCGATACGTCGCCGGTCACGTGCGTCTTATTGTGCAAAGTTTCACGCTGCTCCACAGCCGATAACTGAGTGGCGATCCAAGATGTAAAGTTTGAAGGTCATATTCCAGTGAGTCTAAACTCTCTGACTGCCGGTGAGTTTTGCTCAGCTGGAAACCGGTCTGGGTAACAAACAGTAAGTTGTTTATCGCTTGTTTGTCCCCGTAAACAAACAACAATGATGTGAAGATGAAATCGGTAAATGATTGCAGCATCACGTGCAAATGTGAAAAATCCAGATGACATATGTGGTTACCGACTAATGTTCTGTTTCCTTGAACAATACATTCATCCATTACAGTATGCAGTGTGCCACTCTTTTCTCATGAATTCGCAATTCTGCTAACACATGATGCCGCCACGTGATGCATTGTACAATGACGTACATACTGTCAAGTAAGGACGCGTTAGGAGGCCCGACTATCGTTTGAGTGAGCCGTCATAAGAGTACCAAAATTCATTAGCTGACATCATGCAAGTGGACATTCGACGCCTAATCAACCGTCGACTTGCAATTCATTCTTCATGCGAATATCTTCAAAAGCGTTTCACTCAAATTTAATGAACGATAGTGGTGACATCACAGCGAAAATATACCAACACGCCGACCGACCAGCTCCCATTCCAGAAAGTTACTGGCCTGAGGATGTTTTCTCACACTCACGTTTGGACATCGGCTTATGAGTATCTTCACTCACCCTCCGCGAAAGGGATCTGAATGCATGCTTGTATGTTGTAGGAGCAGACGATCGTGATGGCTTTTCATTCTTGAATAGAGAATGAACGGTTCGCTGTTGCAATAATCGATTATAGTGCGCACCTGGTCCACATCGCACGGATGCAAGCTCTTTGCTAAATTGGACGTACACTCTTTGATATAGTATATACAAATCGACATGGTACATTTAACCAATAACCGACTGATCTGTACGTGACCGCGTGAATCAGCGGTGCGCGGTTGCTTAGTGAATCCTACGTAGAGTAGCTGATTTGTCATCTTCCTGGTTCGCGACCAGAGTACCGTATGATTTCGCACACGTCGACTCGTCCACTCAGTTCCACTTTCTCTGTCACTCTCAAGCAAATGTTCCGGGACGTATTGATTGCGCAAGAGGCAAACGATCGTTTCCTGTTCTCTCGAACCTGAATTACGATAGAAAAGTGGTGTGGACAAAAAGTACACCCACTCTACTGCAATAATATTACTTGTATCAGGTTTTCACGCGTTTGTATCTATGGGCGTTTTCAGTGATGTGATGAACGAACAGATAAATGATGTATCATCCAGGGGATTTCGCGTGAATTATCGATCGACTTTGGCCACATAAGAGCCCGTTGTTCTGGAGTTGAATCAAGTTTGCTATCAAATACCTTTGCTGATTAACGTCCGTTTCTTTCGTCTGGATCCTCATCGTCCGTTTGGGGGCGACCATCATATTACCACGTTCTTAAGAACAGTTTCAAACCCAATAAAATGTTTAGCAAAAACCATAAAGTCATCAGTTTTACAAATTTATGGTCAAAACCAACGGCATATTCCCCAGCTGGGTAATGAGTTTCCGGTTAGTGTCGAGCTAACCAACCATTCAGTGAAAATGACTCCGGAACTACTCTGAATATTCATGGAACCAGATCTTTCAGTCGTTACCTTTGAAATTCCTGGAACGTCGAAAGGCTGGCGCATACGGTGACGGTTAGTTGTTTGGGCTACACTTTACTTTACTGTTTAGTAATTTTGATGTCAGCCGGATGTGTCAGCACCCTGATGGTTGAATAAATCCCGATTGAACTGAAAACATCGAGACACGAAGAACGCGAAAGACAGGAGACGGGTTCAGACGATAGAATGTTTGTTGTGGAATCGTGACGTTGAGTATATAGATGTACAAATTAGAGGGGTTTGAGTAAAGGTTGAATACCACTCAGATAAGTCAGTCTGCTGGGTCAGCAGCACACTGAATGAACAAGCGTCAAGGTGAAGCACGTCAAATATCAGCAACCTTATGAGTAGTGCATTACAAAATGTACATATATATGTATCGCGATATCTCGAATATCGTAGCGACTGAGACATGAGACGACCTGGTGCAGCACATTCAGCTGCCTGAAAACATCACAACTGAGAGATTCAGCTGGGTCCCAGGTGAGTTTCGCGAAAAACCAAATTAGTTTGCAAATGAGTGTATATTAGCTGATTTCGTGCAATTTGGTTTCAAGTAGAACATAAGGGTGACGGAAACTCGGGGAGTGCGCCTACCTGAGAGCTCCAAAAAGGGCAAAACCGGTCGTGGGCTGTCGACGGATTTTCAGCAACCTTATGAGTAGTGCATCACGTCGATTTTCGTTTATCGGGTTGAGGAGTACGTCATCGCTTGTTTATATTCTTGGGGTTGTAAGTTTATCAGTGACAATCCTCTTGTGGTCGTGTGTCATGCATGTTTGTATCTTGACATCTGTTCTTTATTTAGCGACCAGATGTTTAGACTAGCAAACATTAGATGTCACAGTAATCTCGTCTCCACACCAGGATAATTGTAAAAGCTTGTCCCAGTGAGTTACCCGGTCCGGATAACGCTGATCACAAAACCATTCTCCGGAAGTATGGCACATCTGGTTTAGGTGAAATGGCAGGACATACATTAGTGGTGAGATGAGTGATATTTTCTTACTTGGAAAAAGGTTGACGCAGAACTGGCCGGAATCAGCGAGGCTTCTTGGACAAGATGATCTCACTACAGATTTCCTGGTGTTCGTAATCTTTCCCTCAAAGTTATTCGTTTGGAGAGGACGTCGGGTTGTTCCCAGGTGAAAGCATCCAACTGGTGCGGAATCCCTTGTCTGAAAAACACTTGGGATATTACCTGTTGACTGATGCACTTTCGAGGGGTATGAAGGATAAAATTGCTGGTCCTCATAGTTACGAAAGAGGAACCGATTGAATTTATGCCTCTTAACAGACATAGGTCACTGCGTTAGATCTTCGGCAGAGGTCCACTAACGGAGATACTACTCTCGGTTCCTGCAGTGGCTTTTATGCTTTTATCCATTTCAGACAACCAAAATAGCCGTCAGTTGTTCCACCTCCAAATGGCCCAGCTGGAATTCCACTAAGAAACATTGCTTCACCGACGGTGGAATCGCCAGCTGCTCGTTGCGATACGGGACACAATTTGCCTGAGAGATGTCTGCAGACAGCATCGCTGTGCCATGGTGGCAGTTGTTTTTGAAAAGACAACTGGTTCACTGAAAAGCACTCTGAGTCCACATTGGCCAGTGCGGCTAAGCACGATTGATAACAAAACGGCGATGGAACCAAAGACATCCAAGTAGATGCTGTATTTTGTGGTGAGTCTTAGTTAAATGAGCCCCAGGTTGACGGTTTTGCTCGTTCAAAATCCCAGCTATCCTTGAAATGAATTCCCAGTTGCCTAATTCCAGTATAAGAAACACACCGTTTTCTAGTCAAAAAGCGATATTTCTCTTCCGAAATCAATCTGACAAGGCCAAGTCGTTAGCTATGCAATTCCCTTGGTATCGTATTAAAAATGATATCGTCATTCTAGGTGTATGTACGTTCAGTATTTTCAAAAAAGCTTTTGCCGCGAAGTCAGTTACAAGTCGTTGGGCAGCAAAGTAAACATCTGATATGTATATATTCTTTAAAAACTGAATATTCTCATGTGTCCTCTCGAAATTTCCCGAAGATTCACTGACTAATACACAATTTCCGTAATAAAATCATATGCGAGGGAGGCGCTTGGGCACCACACATAGACTACCAGCATGGTTCATCAGTAGTATCCAACTTTACGTCGGTAAGGTAGTTATACTCAATATTAGCATCCGGTGCTTCATCCATAGTAAGGTAGCATCAATATTAGCATCCGGTGCTTCATCCATACGTGGTCACCATCTATCAGGAGAACAGCTCCGAACGTAACGGGACTACGTAACAGCCAATCGAGTAGCCGTTTTCTTTGAGACAGATTTCATTGGTTGTCCTTCACTCGCCCTTGATAGATGAGTTGTATTCTTAGTGTCACTTTTTTTGACAAGCTTGTACGCGACAGTGATCAATAGATCAGTCGTTTCGCACGTTCATTGACTTTTTCAGGTTTGGCCAAGCGCACCCGGCGATCAAGCGGCTATCCGGACCCGGGTTCACCATAATAAGAAGGCATTAAGTGAGTGTGGTCCATAACTACATGGCTTCACGATAATAAAGCCAATCTACTTCGCGAACAATCAGGACTGTCGTGATGCAAGTAGTTGAAGTCCATAAAGACGTGTAAGCTGTAAGCCAAAGGACTGTTTGCCCCGTAGATCTGTTTTCTCCCAGTCTTGTACCGGATGGAGATGACCGGGAGGCGGTTAGTTAATGACTTCGGAATGGAGCGCCAAAGTTTTTACCAGTCAATTCAGCCGTTGTTACTTACTGTCACCGTGAAAAAGACAAACCAAAGGTTAGCGACCCCAACAGATATGTCTGTCACAGAGCCAGTGCCGCTCCTCAATCAAAGCTATTGTCTTCACTGCGTAACTCTTACTTCCCGCCATGCTGGACAGACATATCCATCTATGGAGCTGTTTCGCTTGTTAGCCGAACTTGGCAAAGTTCTTGTATGACACCGGACTGCATGGTGGCGATAACTACACCCGCGTTACCAATATTTCGAGCTGTTTGACCAATTATTCAGTCCAGAACGATGTAAACGTTAATTGGTTTAATACAGTCCCTGTCTCTTCAGTTGTGCGCCATCTAATTGAAGACGAAAGCCGCAACAGTGCTACTGCTGACAACTTGTTAAGAACAACCGGCGCCAATCAGCACTGGAAACCAGATGCCTTGTGAGCGATTTTCCTTTTCTGTTGGTGTATACGTCACGGCCTTATCCGTTTTGGACCAATCTGAGAGCACGCAGTTCAAATGACCTCAATCGATCACCCAATCAAAGGCCTGAATCATCAGTCAGCTTGCCTATTTAGCAGCTGAGAGGTTCATGAGATCTCCTGTTGCTGGAAAGAGTTTTGTGTGTCTACGAGATGCAGTCTTTGAAATACTACCAGTTATCACGAAAAACTGGGGCCATGGTAGAAGCCCCGCTGGTTGGTTTACGGTACTTTCTCGGCTAACGGATTCCGCAGACAAAACTTCCGGAAAAATTCAAAGTGTGGAATGATCTGATTGACAACCTTCCCGAACTGTTTAAGACTGGTAGTCTGAGATCAGAAGTACGCGCGGTAAGTTGAAGTAAAACAGTTTGTTTGTCACACTAGGAATCTGCCTGTGATCTGGTAACAAACAACCAAAGCCCCGTTCAGGTTATCTGAGGAAAGAACACACAGTGTAGCCATTGTTTCGCTCATGTCTACCTGTTAGCTTTTGTCTTCGCCTGGCAGCTGAACAAAGACGCTAGTGCTTGTTTTGATTTCTTCAGCTAGAACAACCTCTCAGGACTCCGTCACTTCTGAGCGTTTTTCTGATAAAATTGACTTGTCTCTAACACGCAATCAGGTGTGCCTTCATATGACAGTGACAACGAGGTTCCCACAAAACCCATATTCCTCACATTTTCATCTGTTTAAAAGGTCAAACGTACGATGCACGACGAACGCACTTTAGCCCATTGTCAGATGTGTATCTTGATCCAATCGGTTAATGGCTAAATCGGACAACAAACTGACTACTGGTGAGTAGTCATCGATCCACACCGGGCGGGGCTTGATAACTACAAAAATCATGAACTTGGATGGTTTCCCGGTCGCTTAACATAAAGGGCGTCTAATAACCGACCGGACGAGAGGTTCAGACTAGCTAACAACGTGACGGTATATATTACTGATGAAACATACTAGTAGTGTCTAGTCAGGTGGTAAAGCGCCGTCCCGCACCTAATGGAAGATGAAGGTTGATACAGAAATTATGAGACGACATTGTAGTGTTCTATTCATTGGTGTCCAATGTTCAAAGAATGTCCATGAAAGTTCCAGAGGGCACTTGAGAATGCTTACTTATCGACAGCTCTGCGCAATAAAGGTTTCTAATTCCGTAGCTTGCAACCGCTCAGTCCCTGATGGACATTGAAAACTCGGCGCAGGGTGTTTTTCCTCCCATCATCAGTCGACCAGTCGACTAAATTAGTCCGCAGGTCACTAGAGCAAGAAGATGCCGGCATAGAAAATGCCGAGTGCATGAATTATCCATCTTGGTCAGTCGGTAGGCATATGATTGATTGCGCCTACACCCAAATGAAGGACCTCGCCAAGACGAAGCGGCCTAATCGCTGGTCTATTTTGAGATCCAAGCACATCTGGTTTACGTACGTACTTTTTGGGACATTCATCCAGCTGAAACCGGAGTTGTCAACCGGAGGTGAGCTCTCTCATGGACAGATAGCGAGGAAGTCCGCCAGAAGCGGTTGACACTCATTTGCAACTAAAGGACAGACCAGCTTGCTGAGTAACAGGCTTATTTAGATTAGACAGGTGGGCAATTGCCCTTGAAAAATAGTGCCATGTCTAAGTTCATGTGTGTGATAAAGTTCCTGGAGCTGTGGATTTGATAAAGGTCCTCCTGATCAACAGCACGTTGATATTATTGCGCATAATGGGCAAAATTATTCGACGAAGCTTCTGAATTAAGTAGTATCGAGGCGATTTCTCAAGGTTGTGACAAAAGTTCTCATCAGGTTGAAACACTACTTTTGTTTCAAGTGGCCAAAACATTGTGCCGATGAATAGGCATTTTTTGGTCACATAACTATACTGCAGTTTCACGCACTCGCAAGTTGTTGTTCTCCAACCACAAAACGAACTGAGTGCACTTATGGAAGCAAATTCCATGAAACAAGGTGCGCTATTTTTGAACTCTTGACCTGAGACTGCCTTGTATCCTGAAATGGAATGTTAGGGTACATCCCTTCAAACGAAGCTGAATTCGTCCCACACAAATGCATCTAATTACGTAGAGTAGGAATGATGGATCAGGTAAACTGTGAAGTCAATGCATACGCAGCGTAGGAAATGACCAGGTATGTTGTTATTAATTGGCTCATGTCAATACGTAGCAGTGGATAATATGTTGCATTCCTAGCTTAGCCATAATTCAGTCGCTACAACTTGAGGCTGGCAAATCTCAGTTTCAAAACCCTCCTCCTAGCTTAGCCATAATTCAGTCGCTACAACTTGAGGCTGGCAAATCTCAGTTTCAAAGCCCTCCTTTATCTTGTGTTCCGGAACTGGGTTTTCCATCCGAATAATCTCACGAAGGTCACTGCTTTTGAACTCAAGAACCTGGCTTTGTCCCGTGTGTATTAGTTGCCACGTACATTAGTTATAATTCAGGCGTGATACTTCTCCGAAAAAAAGTCCATCACCTAAGATCCCCAGACCCGGAGAGGCCACTCCGAGAGAGAGCAGTTTACCCTTAAAAATCCTTAAAAACATCATAAACGAGAGACTCAGCTAGGTGACAGGTAAGTCTCCCGTCAAATGTGTGTATTTTGCCAATTTCGTGCGATTTGAGTTCAAGTAAACCATAAGGGTGACGGAAATTCGGGGTCCGTGTCTCAAGAAGGGCAAAACCGGCCGCGTGTCGGCGAAGAGTTTTCAGCAACCTTACGTGTAAACAGGTAGTACTGTTCTTATATCGCTAACTATAGACCGCTCCAGCGACTGCCAACAGGTAACAACGAAGTAGACCCGATGACCTCGTGCTTTGCTTAGCATCTACGCACAGAAGCCGCACAGCTACTCATATAAAACACATTACCTGGGCTTTCTGAGCAGAAACGGTGGAAGAATGTGTCTTCGTGATACTATCAGAGACCGGTGAAAATATCATATCGATCCGCATCACTTGCATCTCGTATAAACTACTATTCAAGCCTGAGCGGACTAATCCAAGAAAGTTCGCTGAACATTTTCATTCCTTGACGATGTCAGCCTGGGGTAGGTCGCATCACGTGCTCAACTTTAGACCCCCTATCGGTTGCTGATTAAAATCCTAAGACAATCACCAGGAGCTGAAATCCTTTTATGCTCTTGGAGATCGACAAACACGGAGGGCAGTTAGTTTAGGCAACCAAATTACACAATGTAAGCTAAAAGACAAAGCTTGTGCTGGGAACCGCTTTTCAGAACTTGTATCTGGTATGGTCACAGCATGCAGAATTTAGCAAGGGTTCGCACGTCTTCATCAACACTCTTCGGTATGAAGGAACTCTGAACGCTCTACACTGTTCGCCGTTTCCCCGTCAACAAACTCTTTTTCTTTAATTTTCGTTTTTCATCTCTCATTTACAGTTGCCTCTGTTGCATCCAGACGGTCTAACCTCTGTGGATCAGCTGAGGTTTGCTCACAAAATTCTCGCATTCGCTACCTCATCATATGTGTGGATAAATGGAGACGAAGGCGCTACAAAGGTAGGATAATTTTATACAGTACTACAGACTGATATTCAGTTTTTTCCCACGTGTTGTGTGTCTTCTGTAAAACTTGTTGTCAGGATTCGTTTGCTCTCACAAGGTCCACTCCGGTGTTTCGATTACCGTTGTTCTTGCCGTTACCACTAACTGGATATATTCTGTAAACTTAGGCTGGACGATTTATCAAAATAGATGACACATTTTCCAAAACGAACACTACTCATTATGTCGCGAGAAAATTTTCCACAGCATATGACCGGCTTCGCTCCTGTTCAGGGTCACCTGACAGGTGTAACCCCCTTGTTCCCGTCAAAATTGTGTTCAGCTTGAAAACAAATGGTATAAAATACGCAAATACATTCATTTACACACCATTTGACCTTTTAAGAGGGACTGGTCTGAATCCCTCTTACATTGTTCGCCTCGACCGTCTGCGAAAACACAGCCTCATGCATGAGAGTCCCGATATCAAAATCTATTTTCTTGAACAAAGGCGTCGTTAGTTGTTTCAGGTTGGCACAAATTCACCAGAATATTAAACATAACTGGTTCAAAGCTAGTCTCAGGTACACCGTTAAAAGCTCCGGAATCCTAACCGAGTCAAAAATATTACACCGTGGCAATGATGACTCATAAATATTTATAAAATAACGCTGGTATTCACATATCAACGAAACCAAACAGGTTCGTTTGATGTTACACAAAGTATTTTACATTTCTTGAATACACGTCATGATAAAGTCACGTGATTTTCCACAAGCGGTTGGTAACTAGGTCAGTTTCATCTGAGGTTGTTTGTACGTAACAGTTATGCCGCGTCACGGAATTTAAGTAAACAACTATTTTAGCCCATCGGTGGCATACTCGGTATCCACCCAAAGACAGTTATGAGATATTCTTAACCGATTACTGTCTTCGCAGATTCACGGTCTCTCATATTTTGTACACCTGCCTATCGAAATTCGGGTGACAGAAACGCTTCATGCTAGAAACTGCGAAAATCGACCTGTCGTTGCTCGATGATAAACGCACAGTATTCCAACCAACAATGGCGCAAAGGTGCATAGTACTGATGAGGCAGGCGAGTAGTGTGTGGTTTCCTCGTAACTCCGCCTCGATCTAATGGAAGCGGAATTTTCGGAACTGCTTTAAAGCATTCGTTTAAAATTGCGTGATAGGCAATGCATGTCAAAAAATTTCAAGACGACGTGCTCAAGAAGAAGATGGGTATTCGAGAAATACACTCATTTGCAAATCAATTTGGTTTTCAGGAGTGACTCAACTTAATCTCTCGTTTATGACATTCTACAACTGAATGTGCTGCACAAAGGCTGCCTCATGATTCAGTTGGCACGATATTCGAGATATCTCAGTATATTTTCATCAAGGAAACTACTCACAAGGTTGCTGATTTGCAAATGGGTGTATTTCTCGAAGACAGATCAATTTGGGTTCAAGTACAATATGAGGTTGACGGAAACTCGGGGACTGCGCCTACCTGATGAGCCCCAAGAAAGGCAAAACAGGTCGTGGGCTGTCGAAGAGTTTTCAGCAACCTTGTGAGTAGTTTCATTTATGAAAAAATATTTTATTATATATCTCGAATATCGTGCCAAATCACTCGTGAGACGGTCTGTGTGCAGCACATTCAGTTGTAGAATATCATAAGCGAGAGATTCAATTGAGTCTCTCGTGAAAACCAAATTGATTTTCAAATGAGTGTATTTCTCGAAAACAGTCCAATTTGGTTCAACTAGATCATAAGGTTGACGGAAACTCGGGTACTGCGCCTACTTGATGAGCCAGGCAGGGTCAAGAGGGACGAAACAGGTCGTGGGCTGTCGAAGAGTTTTCAGCAACCTCATGTTTGTGGGGTGTTCGATGTTGAGGTTTTCTAAACTTCCCTTCATCTGACGTGATTTGGTAGAAAGCCTACCAAATGAGGATCTTAGTGAGCATTGTTCTCCGGTGACGAAACACCCGGGAAAGTGTGTGAGCTACTCTACGTGACGCATTTTTCAATTCAGCGGTCACTTGACTTACACTTCAACTAAGTCAAATGATTTTAAGTTGTCCTCAACGCCAGAATGATGATTCTTCTAAACTTCAGCGACATTGGCGTTTGAACAATGATGTACTTCTGGAAGGGTCTAAAGAGAATTCTTCTCCCTCCTTGTTGTACTATAAACGATGGAGTTTTGAAGTGAACCGCACGGATGAGAGCGAAGCAACAATGTTTCTGACGATGACTGACATCAGAGCTCCAGCTTTTAGTCCACTACCTGTGGGATGTGTTTCCCGCCACACTAAAGTACATAACAGCAGGAAAACAGGAGAAAGTATGCCACCGAGTGGGACCGAAAAAACGGCTTCTGATCTCTCCCACCGCTGCGTGCAAACACCTTAGGTGGAACTAACCTAGTTAGCAACCACTTGTGGAAAATCAAGTGATTTGGCCATGACGTACACAGAGGACATTCAAAATGTTTTTTTATGATATAACGCAAACCTCCTTGGTTTTATTGCTGTGCGAAATAAATGGGAAACCAAAATGGAATAATTTGTGACTCGTTTACGAACCCGAGCTTGTTCAGGTGTAACGGTGTTGCTACTGATGGGGAGGCACGCGAGTAGTATGCGTTGTTCGTGGAATTTCGCTTTGCGTCTTTTGAAAAGGGGAGATCGGTTGCGGAATTTGTGGAGTCGCTTTGTAGCATTTGCTTGGATTTGAGCGATGGATGATTGGAGTCAATGAATATCCAGGAAAGTTCAAGAAGACGCGTTCAGGAGAAGATGGATGTCCAGTTTCTGTGAATAAGATGCAAATGGGAGTTTTGCTTCCCTGCCCAATGGTCTGTAACAGGTCAGATAACATTTACTAACAAATAACTCCGCAGCAAATCCCTACTTCCTTTCACCGGTATAATTATGATCAGATGTGAACACAGAGAACACTGGTCGTGTTTAATATTCCGTGGAATTTGTAGCCGATATTCGGCTGATTGTTTGCCAAGGTTGCACGGATATATCGTAAATCTCTTTATTTTGACCAGCCCTGCCGGTCAGTGTTAACCTGTCCGCTGTACTCCTGGAAGCGGTCTTGATCTAGAGGTTTGGAATCCGTCCTGTATTCAGACAACCTATGGCCTCTCATCTCAAGTAAGTGGCCAGACACCCGCCCTTGCTACTGAGAAGGCAACGTGTAAGATTTCTTCAGTAAAAGATCACTTAATATCGGACCATTTTGGGCTACTCTGAGAGAAGGCCCGGCAAAGCCAGCATCCACCCCACAATTTATCTAACCAAGTACAGAGTGTATCGACTTATGCCACTCCCCCGTTTTAGAGAGTCCGTGCTATCACCCGACTGCGTTTTGAAGACTGCCGTCTTTTCTAGGCAGATTGTGCAATCTTCAAAACGCAGGGGTATTGCAACAATAAGGTTGCGCAGTGACACACTGTTTTCTGTACAGAAAAGTGGGTGGCAGGCGTCAATGTTCAGAAAAATGAATTTCTCACCAATGCTCCCTGTGGATCATACTCGTCTTACGGAATTAACTGCAACGATTGCGCTAATGTTCATATAGGACAAACTGCCAGGGAATTGTTTCGGAATTACTGCAACGATTGCGCTAATGTTCATATAGGACAAACTGCCAGGGAATTGCACATCAGAAGGATTAACAAACCACCAACGGATGCAGAAGAATACCAAACGCTGGTCAAAGACTCAGCGATGGCGGTACATGCCTTAGACACGGGACATAGAATAGATCTGGAGAATGTGGAAGTTTTATGGCGGGGACTGCGATTCACACCACAGCCGAGGCGGTGGAAGTTACTAAGCATCACAGCGTGAATAGAATCGAGGGTGTGCAGCTAGTGAGCGTATGGAAAGCGGTCTTAGATAAGCCGAGTTGACACCTTACACAACTATCTTAGCACTAGCTCATCCACACAGACGGACAGAATGTTCAAACGACGTTCAAGAGGAACCATCAAATGAACCGAACCAGAGGAACTAGACCCTAGGCAGGACCCAAACACATGTAGGTTCCCCCACTGACCCAACACTTGTTCAACCACTCCAACACAACTAAAAATCCTCGGCCGACACCCAACAGAGATTTAGCTTGACTTAGCTGATTGGTTCTCTTTCCTCCTTAAATCTTGACCAACCTCGGAAACTAGTCACTTGGCCTGATGAAGCTTTTGTTTTAAAAGCGAAACGTTGCCCAGCAATAAATCTACCGATTGTTACCAAGCTTTTTCGAAAAGGAATTCTAAATAGTTCCACTTCGGGCTGTGTAACGAGATCGACAATCAGATGTCTGCCTTACTCAGTTATTCCCTTTTCGTTACTCGTCGTTGTACTATCGATCACCTTGGAGGCTCCAACCGACTGGTGTGCGTGTGTATGTGTGTATGATTGTTACTGCCTCGTCGGCAATATTCTGTGCAGAAACTGTTTAGCTTTTTGTGCGAAAGCAAGTTACCGCAACTTGAGACCAACAAGTTAGGCAGTAAGATCACACGCACTCCGATAATGGTTGCAGCAAACCTTTAACTCTCAATCGGAGAGGGTCATTGATTTTCGCTTACCCGCACGAATTTCTCATTTCCAAATCTGGTTAACTCCGTCTGACTGCCTGCCGCGTGTGTCTGTGAGTTTCTCGTCCAGAAACGTCGTTTTTTAACTAACTTTGTTTGGAGTCTACCGGTTTTAAAGCTTATAGTACATCCTGTGGAGTCTTGCTACAGGCCTGGCATCACGGATTCCAGCCATAAAGACTCGAAGTGGATTGTACGCTGGTTGGACTCCTGAAGATTCGAATATATATCCCCAGAAATGCTAACCTAAAGCTTCGGCCAGAATTGGGGACCCAGTGGTTATTGACAAAGTGTGAAAGGCCAGGCGCCATTATCTAACGGGTTTGCAGGTGCGATACGCACATGATGCACAACGTGGTCAAAAATGAATGTGGCGTAAAACTGCAT